AACCGGGGGGGGGGGGGAGAGGGGAGGGGTTATCATGAAAAATAACATCACCTGGCGCACAATAGTCTTAATAACATATATTTTATTTATTATACTGTCGAGGCACCGAGCCTCTTCGTTTGCAGTTATAAAGGTGTATCGAAACGAGTGTATTTAAATAAATAATAACTAATAGCTGGTATATTTTATTATTTTTTTGTAAAAGCAGCTATGCAGCAGTGTGATTCAGTCCCGCGTGTATACATTTTATTAACGTTAATTTTTATTTATACACGCATAAATAATAAACTTTTCTTATACAGTACGTTAGACATGCGTTTAATTTTCAGATAACCCTTCTGTGCACATTTATATAATTTATGTAAATCCGATTACGTTACGATTGATTTGGAGTCAAAGTTGAAATAAGATAATAATTATTAAACTTATTATTGATTTATTTATTTATTCATTTTTTACTTAACGTAATTTAACTCCCATATGAAAATACGACTTATAATCAATTAAAACTTAAAAAAATTAATCGGTTTAATGCTAAAAGTACATAGAGAGAAAACGTATTATAACAGACACATTACATGTAAAATCCTCGAAATAGCATTGTTGTGGACAATGATTCGATTAATAGCGCGTCATTAATATACGGTTACGTCTCAAAACAATTTATTTAACTTCTCGAAAAGTGTACTGTATGCAGTTCCGGAACAAGAATGTTTTGAGTCATAACTTAATGGAATGACAGGGGAGAGATTAGAAACAAAATAATGTTGGACTGTAGGTACGCTTATAGCTCCCTTCTTCCTTATAACTCGTCACTTTCGACAAATGAATGAAAACAAATTGAAAATATATACAGAGTAAGGACAGATCCAGCATATATTTATAGATGCGCTTTATGTAACAAATCAAATAGTATAGATGATCATAGATGCATAAGAGTGTCTTGAGGTGGCTTAAATCCCCTCTCAAAAAAAAAAAAAAAATAATGTGACAATATTGTACAAAAACTGTCTTAATGTATTTTTAATTTGTATTATATGTAAAAAAAACTTTATTTCTTTCATCGGGAGTATCATTTGCCACCAGTGTCCTCTTCTTGGATCCACCCATGGTACAGGATTTAACAATACTAGTTCTAACGCTCATAGGTTGATTAGCTTTATTAGATTTGTCACATGTTTTCACCATTACTTTGGGTAACCTCGATGTCCACGATTTCAATAAGTTGAGTATGAAGTGGAACATGATACTTTTTGTGTGTATCAGGTTGGGTTTAATTTCTATGGAGATCTCTCAAGAGCATAACAGCGATGATTAATATTCAAGTTTGGGCGTCCGCGCACGTCCACGAACACATGCGATCTTCTGATGGATTTTTTTCCATGGCTCTGAACGCCTTTGTGTGCAACACATATATTGTTCTGTTTAGTTCGGCGATTGTAACCTCAGCCCGAGGAAAAAAAGTTTTCAAAAGGTCTATTGTAAACTCGGCCCAGGGTTTTTGCAGGTAAAAATAATTTAGGTGTAAACTCGGCCTAGATAAAAATGTACATTTGTATAATTTTCTTATAATATTTTTGATAACCATCTAACATGACCCAGAGGACACCATGAGGAGGCGTTTTATATATTCCTTTTAACATACTGAATAATACTTACTTATAGATCTTGCGCGTCAGGTACATTGTTTACTGCACTACAAAAAATTTTGTTTGGCCTACTACATATATGATGTCCTCAGTTTCTTTGCGTTTGGCCACGGTGGCAACACATTGTCATTGTAGTACTTAGTCCCCGATAGGGTCATGCAGATGATCATCATTTTTCTCCGTAATATCATTATTTATTCAAAACGTTTTTAAAAAAGCTGTACATTTGCGGTTTATACATCGCCATTTTATTTCAGCTGTAAATATTATCGGGCCGAGATTACAACCGACCTTTTTTACTACTTGACATTTCCGGGCCGAGTTTACAATCTACCTACTTTATTACCTAAAATTTTCGGGGCCGAATTTACAACAAAAAAGGTAATCGCGGGTCCAGTTTACATTTGCCCGTTTAGTTTAATGTAAATGTTAACGATTTGATTTTTTTTCCAACAAAAATATACGACAAGAAAGATACAATGTTACGCATGCTAAAAGGAGAATAGCAGTTTGAACATGTGCCTACATTATTACATATTATAAACTTGTCGTTAAATCATATTTTACTGTACGCAGTGGTTTGACTTGCATGGAAATCAAATGGGGTCAATATTCGTTAAATGTATGCACGTGTATAGGTAGGTAAAGGTGATTTTATTTTCCGTTAAAAAAATATTATAAACTTAATATATAAGATGTTTAGTACCACGAAATAATTATGTATCTATACAGTGTATACTATATACATATATTATATTGTGTTGGAGAAATGATATCTATTGTAAGCTCTGGACGGACCAATTGAAAAAAATACACACTAGTCTTGCTCTTGAATTAATCACATTATGTGGTTGGGTAACAAAACGTACTTACTTATAAGTTATTTTCATAAGAAATTTTGTAATTTTATCGTTATACGATCGTATATTTATGTAATATGTTAATAATTTTAATATTGATCTTTTTGTGTATGACTATTATTTTTTTTATTTTGTGTATTAGAAATGTAATCACATAAATCTATACCGTATATTGTTATTCTATGTTTTTATATAACTATGGTATTAGGGCTCGCCTGTTTAATCATAATAAATAAATAAATACATAATAAAATATATTCAATGAATGTGATTATGATCACATACTCATAATTTATAGTTTATCGTGTAATAAATACACGTATTTTTAACATCACGGAGTTATAAACACTTTTATTCAATTCTCTAACCGTAATTAACTTAATAAATTCATCCACATTTCATAATTATAATTATGTGGTGTGTGGGTAGTGGTCGTAAATCTGTGGGGATATTAGCGTTGATACATAAATAGTATTTTTACGATTAGTAATAATTTTACGCTCTCGTTTTTATATTAAAAATATTGCTCAAAAATGTATAATGATGTTGAAATTGTTATACTCGTACTATGTTTTTCTTATAAGTTTCATTGGGTTATTCAATTAAATGTCAATTAAATTCAATTATGTCAATTAAATAAAAACCAAAATTTCGATATTTTAAAAAAGGGTCTTTTTTAAACAATCGGTATCATTAGAAAATCCTTATGAGACATTTAGTATATATTTAAAGAATCGATCGACGTTATTCTATGGAGATTTAATCACATTGTCAGACAATTAGCGAAAGTAAATAAAATCGTTTTTATTTAAAATAGTTATTGGTCATTTGTATTCGTATTTTTATATGGTTTAAAAGTAAAATTTAAATAGATTAATTTTTTTATATATTTTTATTGTATAAATTATTGGTAGGTACGTATGGAGATAAAATCTTTTATCTCCTGCTAGTAGTTTTTTGAACTTTGGATTTTTTTTTTAATTTACGACCGTGGTGGGAGTCGTACAATTATGGTTGTCGTATAATAAATTACATGAGATCAATTCAAGCGTATTCTAGATCCATTTTTTAATTACATCGCGTACTACGATATCGGTTTTCAATTATAACATTTCCAATAACGTTTCATAAACATTTTCGCTTGTCGTTTTCGCAATCGTTTATAAATCGTCGTCGTCTTGGAAATTTGCAATGTTCATTAATAGTATCGATTTCCATATGGAGTCCGGAGGAGTTCTGCATATCAAACAAATATTATCGAATGTTGCGCGTCCAATCGTTTCCGTGCACTGAACATGCATTTGTCGTTACAACGATTTCAGTCATCGACTCGGTAGTTCAATGTGGACGTACACGAAACTCCTCCGAGCCGAACGTCGTGTCTTTATTAACGTCCGTAATACTAGCGGCTTTTCGCCGGTGCACACGACTCGCCAGTCGTAGTTCACGCTCGTGCGCACCGATATGTGTATTTTTTATTAGGATCTAATAATTTGTGTTAAATATCAATGGAAGTGTTATCTGTATATCTGTGTACCGCAGTACAGTCATAGTTAACTGACGAAACGGTTCTATCCGTTGGCCAACGGTCGTAGAACAATTTGTAGTCCTTTGATCAACATTCCCCTTTGGTCCTGTACTCAAGAGTCGGTGACGGTCGCGCATCCGGCATACATTGTTACGCCACGGCAACAACAGCGTTTGTGTGATTTACAGAGATCTTCGTCATCCGAACAAAGGGACGCGGCACCACCACCTCGCCCAACGAACGACGACTTTGACGACTCTTCCGGGTCTGCGTGTGCACTGGTCGGCGAGTCGGACCACCGTCCGGACGTTCGATTTAGGTGTACATCGTAATTAGCGATGCGAATAATTCAATGGAATAATTGAACGATTCGATTATTATTCTTTGATTGTCAAAATAATTGAATGATTTTAATAATTCAAATAACGCTTGGCTAACCGGACATATTTATCAAAAGCAAATCAATTGAATTGTTCGAAAAAATTGCGTGTTTTACTCGTTGCCAATTGGGTACTAAATTAAGAAGTCCACTGTCCCCCCCCCCCCCAATCAGAATTGCATTATTATTTATTTTAATTTTAATCATTGGTATCATTCCCGGTACCGATAATCGCCGCACTAATCGGTTTAATACGTATAAAAAATGATCGGATTGAAAATGCATTGCACTTTCACGCTTACAGATAATCATTTGATTATTTATACAACCGGTTCAAGCAGTTAAATCGTTAATCGTCTGATTATTCGATTATTTTGATTTTCTTTAACTAATCAATCGATTGTTTTGTTTTCGACTGCTGATCATTCGGTTGTTCGATAATTCTCTTTTTCGATTGTTGAAATAATTCGATTATTCCCATCACCAATCGTAATGGCTCGGAGCAGACCGATTCTCCGTACGCTCTGCGCACGTATTGCATCATGTACGCGCGGTCCGAGTCTGCTGCGTGTGAAAGATAACGTATTACACAATACATTACCAGTCCCAGACACGACCCAGCGCGACTCTCCTGGCGAGACGGGCGCAACTCGAAACCGGTCCGCGGTGCGTGTAGTGGTTGTGCGCAGTAGTCGGTTTTTTTTTTTTAGTTTTTTTTTTTTTTTAGGAGTCCTGGTACGAGAGGCAGGGCGTGAATCGATTAGACGCCGGTCCTAAAGAATATTATCGATCGCACGAATACGTATACGCGAGCGCGCGTATAATACGATTATAATACGTAAATTATACGTATGTGGTACGTGGTGGTGGTGTACACGACATTATAATATAAGGGTTCTCTCGTACAGGTACGTACGCGCGCGGTGACGGGTCGAAGAGGAGAAGCGGAGGGAGGAGAGAGAACGAGGGAGAGCGAGGACAAAACAGGTCCTCCACGTAATGGAAAATAAGATTTATGCCGTCGTCGGAGTCGTTTATACCGGAGAGAACTGCGCAGTTCATTTCTATCTGGTATTATACGGGCCCTGTTAAATAATTACCGGGTTCCTTTTTTTTTCTTTCTTTCTTTCTCTTCTCTTCATTTATTTTCCTTCTCCTGCCGCTTGCACCGCACTGCACCGCGACCGCCGAGGAGACGTGCACTACAAATCGGACAGAGTGCTCGTCGCGGTGTCGCGCCTAGCCACAACGGTCCACCCTCCCGTCGGCCAAGTACCGGCGGGCAACGATTGAATAATGGGCGACAAGTCGCGTAAACTCGTCGCTCTCGACCGGCCGCGGGGTAACACACGGTAGCGGTCCGCATCCGTCGTTGCGCCTACCACCGTTGTACGTGTGTGCACGTGTGCACCGGCGTTTTTCGTCACGCAAAAATAGTACGATATGAAAATTTAAATATGAATATAGAATAATTAAAAGATTTCATACATTCAATATATTTTATGTGTTGGTTTAAAATTTCAACTCGTTTTATCTAATATATATTCCATCGTGGTCAATTTGTTAACAAAAGCCAGTACTGATATGGTACCAGATTGGCTTCTCTTTCTCGATCACATTTCCGCTGTATTGCTTCAGTACCATTCTTAAACCTTCGCATTTTGCGCTTAACTTGTTGTTCTATTAAAACATCGATATAAAAAATATAAAATATTTACTACCAATGTTTCGATAGACAGTTTTTTTTTTTATACGTATAACTTGGAAAACAGATGGATGTGCCGTATAAAATTCATACCGAAATTAGTCGATCCAGCACCGTTGGTCGTTCTTTTTGTACCGTTAGGTTCTTCAAGCCACCATCGAAGGAGGATGTTGTTCAGTGTCGGTATGATTTTCAATTACATGATTAGAAAATGCCGTGGATTTTTGATGTTTTGGATCTCCAGATAAAATTTCATAAAAATCGTCGGAAACCGAATTTACCGGTAAACAAGGTAATCCATATTGTCGATAAGCGATGACAGTCGTTCAAAATATACGTGTGCGGTAATGGGAATTTGAAATATGTGTACGGTTTTGTCCCGTGAGTTTTTCGCGCGTTTGTGCGGTAACGGGTGACGCTCATGTATACGCTGTCGCGCGCGCGTTCGATAGAAGGACGATAGGACGCCACCAGGACAACAGGACCACAGGTTAACCGAAATAATCGCCGCTTTTACTAATACTAGATGTTATCGTGATTTTTCCGGTTTAAAAAATTCGTGTCGGTCGCGATTAGCTCCTGTTGCGTTTCAACAAACGATTTTCCATTGTTATTAGTATTTATTTCTTTTTCTACCATTATTATTATTTATTCGCGCGCGATAAAACTCATGATGTTATTACATCGTGTCACACGATTTCGATTCGACCATGTTTCTGTTCTTCGATACGGTTGGACTTGAAACGATCTTATTGAACCATTTTTATTTTTTGTTTTACTTTGTTTTCGACACATATTATATGTTTGTACACATTTTTTATGATAGTTAATCTGACACAAAAACCAATACTTAAAGATAAGGAATACCACAATTGTTTTCTTTTTTTAAATAACAAATATAATGATTCGTGTTGTACAAAATATTATTATTAAATACCAATATGTGTCGATAAGACTCGATGCGATTAAATACTTAAATGTGATTTTTCAAACAGGATAATAATGTATTCAATAGAATATCAATTATTATATATTAAAGAAGCATATTATAGTTTCATAAATGTCTCGTTTTTACGTCTATGTGTAAAAACATGTTTTCTGTAATCGGTCTGGACCTACGAATAATTAATTTTATCTTATCTAGATGTAATAAAATTGCAAATATGACTTAATATGTTTTGACTGCCCACAAAAAAATAATGAACGTGTTTTTATTAGTTTTTATTACGATAGTCTGATGACAACAAGCCGTTATTTAAATATTAAAGCATGACATTTTTCTGGTAATTTATCGAATTGCAGTCCACTATTATTTCAGTCCTCCAGTGGCTAATTCGATTTTTGTTACGGAAAACTAATAACAGTTCTGTTCTTATTCATTGGCATTCATAAGTAAATTTTTTTTATTTTGTTATGATTATTTCATATTTTAATATTAATAGTTATATGAGTTATATGATATAAATAAAATAAATAATAATTGTAATAAATATTTATTTTATTATATTTTTTACTAAATTCATGTTGTTTATATTTTATATAACTTTGTAATGTGATATTTATTAAACTAAAATTTCATATTATTTTTTAATAATTGTGCGTTTTTATGTTCATAATATATTTTACTCAAAATAATCCAACAATCAATGTCAAATATTTCAGACGTTCCAATGTTCAATTCGACTCCAGCACGAACAAGATAATATTTTTGTTAATTTGTAAAATATAAAATAATAAGTACTACGTAATTACACTAGTCGTCCATTCCGGTACATGCTACAGATATTCTAGATTTCAGTTATTCACAAGATCAGTTCAGTTAACTTATGTTACCGGTTGAGTATGAAAAAAAGTCAAGTACAGATAGTTCGCGATAATCATTATTTAAATCTTAGTAAGAATTATTTAGGGGATAAATTGTCAATTGGATAATTGTAAATATTATATAATAAAAACAAATAATGACGATGCTAGCAATCACGCACCGCAAAGCTTATTATATAATATACCAGACGAGGATGTCGGGGAAATTATACGGACGTGGTATGTTATTAAATTATTTGTGAGAAAGGTTGGCATGAAGAAATAATCCGTTTTTTTCTTTTTCCGTGCAGCCTATAGTTTAATTAACCTTTCGGTTCTCGGTTGTTTTTTTCTTTCTGTTATCGTTTTTACCTTCTCTTGCGCCAAAAATCTTTTTATTCGAACCCTTATTCTCTCCATCCGGTGAACCTATATACACGGTTCTTATATTATACAATTGCCGTCGGCGGACGAGACTCTGATTTTTATAAGACTGCGTATTACGAGCAAAACGCATTTCGTTTTACGCTCGATTACACTTGGAATATGTTATTATTAATATTTACTTTTCATAATATTCTTTTGCACGGCCCGACATTTTTCTTCTACGTGGTAAAATCGAGATTTCGACAAACCTTTTGTCTGCCGCAAACGAATGGGTTGCAAAATCGTTGCATATTTTTAGTAATGATTTATGTGTACGTGTTCGACCTGAAAATGTTCTTAGATACAGAAAATTATCATCTCATGCAAGTGCTGCAAACTTTACGGAGGAGAGAGGGCCGGATATAACCGGAAAATTTTGGCCACATTTACTCTGCAGCCTATTCGTTCGTCTGGACCGAGGAACTAGTTAGGCTAGGCACGCATGAACGATATTTAATCGGCCGAAAAAATTATCGGTTAGTTACGATTACGTAATTATATGTATCAGTGCGCAAGAGCGATCGCGAAATCGGCCGATTTTAAAATCTGTGTCCAATCATAAATTTCCAATCCGATCGTGATCGTTCGAGAACTTTATACCAATGTTTTTACATTATTATTTGCGCATGCTTTTTCCGTAACCGAATACAATCGGACGAGTCAGCACACGTGTTTTTTAGTAGACATTTTACGATGCATGTTATCGTGTAAATAAATTGATATCCTCCTTTTTTAATCTTTATTTTTTTATTTTAATGCTTGTGTATAATGAACGTCGATATATACTTAGAAAAATTAATATCTTTGGACGAAGCTCGTTCAGAAGCGTATAGTAAATAATTAAAAGGTTATAGTGATCGCCTAATTAAACAAAAGTTATGGTTGGAAATAAGTGAATGTTTTTTCGAGAAACTGTTCGTACGCGCCAAAACAAAAAAACGGTGTAAAGCGCGAGCAATGCTACTATGGGGCGATTGTACTCGTCCAATTAAAATATTGTTCATGCGCACTAAGCCTTAGAACTAATATTCTGTTTCGAATCAAACACAATATTAAACGAATCAAACAAGCTCGAACATACTCATTGTAATATCACTTGAGATAATGAAGATAATTCAATTCTTTTTTTTTTACTAGACTCACAGAGATAAGAACTACAAATATTCATTGTTAATCTAAAATTTTAAGACTTGGTAAAAATGAATAAAAAAAATCGCTTTATTATTGCAAACAATAATAATTATTCATTGGTATGAACTCTGCTTATGTATTATAATCTTGTTTTTCGCAGCAATTGGGGTCAATTAAAAAAACATGTGATTTTGTTTTGAAATTTATTGAAAAATAATGAGAACGCCCGATCGGCCACTTAGCGGTTAAATAAAATCCAGCGATATGAGTATGAAAATTATTTCGATTAAGAAAAAAAAAGTTATTCGCTACGCAGACCACTGGATTTACGGTTGGTAGTTTTTCTTGTTGTTGTTACGTGCACTCTTGAAATCCGATTGCCATTAAAAATTAATGAGATATGCGCACTATTTGATGACAGCTCTTCTAAAGATGTGAATTTATTTTTTTCTGTCCACGATAATTATTGCGTTCCTCGTATTAATGATTTGACATTCGTCTTCCGTGACACCAGACGAACATCTGGTACGTCATGTCGAAAATAGTTTTAATCAGCTGTGCGTATTACAACGAATTCGCCGAACAAAAGCGCACGAACACCGTATCGTATAATGAACATTGTGTACGTATACGGGGCGCCACGCGACGACGACGACGGTCCAGTTATCGCGATTGATACGCGAGGTGGTGACAGGGATGGAATTAGGGGGTGGAAGACGGAGATACATGCCTGGTCGTAGAATTTTAGAGGGTGTAATTTTTGTACTCATTTACAACTACTTTGATATTTTTAATTTTGTTAAATACAGATTATAACTCAATAAATACGATTGTATATTAATTATTAGAAAAAAAATTCTCGAGAAGAGTATTTGATTATTGGTCCGTGATAAGGCGTAATTTCAACATTTTCACCGGGCGTGAAAATTCCTAGTTCCACCTCTGTGCGGTGATAATACATTAACGTGTTGTCGGCCAGCGAGTTACCCGTTTCGATGCGTACGATTTCGTAACAATCGTAATTGTTTCGGACGAGTTTTGACGGACGTTTGTGCGCAGTCATTGGCGAAAAACAATCGACAACCATAGCAATGTCAGTAGCTATGTACGTTGTAATTACGTAATACCGTGTTGCTACGGTGATGCAAAGAAAACGAGTGTTGAACGGTTTTTGTACGGTACGACCACTCTGCCGGTTGTGCAGTGATACGGTTTTCCGGGGTTATTTATAACGTTTTACCCTGAGGAATAAAATAAATAATAGATATTTATTCTAACCATCTGTCGCGTTCAGACTTCGATCCGAATGACGTTAAAATGATATTAACTGTTGTTCAGAATGAAAATAGAAATAACGTCGTGTTTGATTTCATTCGAATTTCAAAAACTCATGGATATTCATCCATGAGTTTTTGGCTGATACGTATAATTGGAGGAAACTCCACTCGACCATTTCTGTTAAATATTTTTCTTTCCTTTACCGTTCATGAAATATCGCTACTTCAATCAAATTCTGACTAGTTCAAAAGTGCATTAATTTCAACCGAAGTTCTTAGTTCAAGCGACCGATGGTAGTGAAATATCAATTTTGAGTAAATTTTATAAACAATCGGTTATAAATCAAAATTAAAAATACGTTTGATATTATCGTTTAATTTTATTCGTTTGAACATCATGTTTTATGCGTGTGAAGCCTGCAGTAGTCACAATGATGAAAAAAACTAAAAGTAATTAAAAGTGAATCGACCTCATTCATTCCATCCAATGAAGTCTTTCGTATCTTTGATGGTGATCTATAATTTTGTTTGTCTCCCACTCCCGGTCTGAAAACGAACTATTGCATACAATTAATACGTAATTATTGTTTCGGTTTATTCAAGGAGCACTTTGAAACAAAAAAAATATTTATAACCTTATGAGATATTTTCTATATTTGAACTAATTTTGGAAAAGGAAACGATCATTTCAGTCCGTGTGTATTCATAGACACGTAAAGCCGTTGCTGTTTAATACGTATGTAAGCGTACTACGTGGGATTCTTTGTTATTTTTCTAAATATTTTTTGTCGAGTTAGAAAAAAAAAAAAGAAGAGAGTGACTGGAAAGACTACTGGTATTTACGTCTGGTATAATAAATATTGTGTTAACGTGTTGCGCACATTGCAGCAAAGGCGGTTGGTAAGTAGCAGCGCGTGAATGTATGGAATACGCCGAGACGAATGGCTTACAAACTATCCGAATATATGCGCCGGACGAGTCTTATGGTAATGGTATAACGTACGCGATGAGAGTCGATCATAACATAAACTGATAAAGAAAACGCGTAAATTTAAAAAAAAACTCAAAAAAAAAAAAAAAAAACTATCGTGAGCGGGCGCCGGGCATCGCAGGAACACGACGGAAAATCCTAAAAAAATACAGTCACGGTGTGCGAAACACGGTCTAACGTTGATGATAACATAACCTAACCATAGCAACCAAACATTGCGCCCGGGATGAAAC